CTTTAGTCCAAAGGCTGAACAGAGGCACAAGGACACGGTTGTAAGAAACTCACCTGGCTTATCTTCGGCCATAACATCCAAGGTTGTTCTGGGTGATGGGCCGGCGCCATTGAATGCCTCAAACTGGAATATGTATCCCAAGTATCGTTCCAAGCCTGTATAAATCACAATTTTCATAAACTTTACTCTTCTTGCCAGCCCCAGGAAACAGGTGATAATTTTTAAACTAAAATGGCAAAGCCGCCATGGCTCGCTGTTGTTATGAATTTGAATTTCTTTCCTGCATAAGGGAGCGATCCAGACGGGGGGGCCCCGGGAGTTTTGTGCGGTAAACCTCGAGGTTTTTTGAGGTTCGGCTGCATGAATGGCTCTTAAATATACATGCATTATCCTTGAGCTGCAGGTCAACTTCACACGCATGAATGGTCGCAGGATGAAGCTTTCGGGCGCAGGGAACAACAGAGGCACAGCAGACAATGATGAATGGTGGCTGCTATTAGGGATTAAAAGATTAAAGGATTAAAGGTGTATACTTGTCTTGGGAAGGCAGGTATCTAAATACATGTAGGATTACTAGGAGATTATCTTGAGGCTTAAATTACTCTTTTGTCCGTGCCTTGGGGTCGTCTGGTTAATGGGTTAATCAAAAATGTTCCTCTACCAGCTGCCCGATGTGCGCTAACCCGTGGATAATGAGTTCATTATAGTACGATGAGAGAAACCTCGAAAAACCCAGCGGTCCCCGGGAGGTTTACTGCGCAAAACCTCCAGAGCCCCTTCTGGATCGCTCCCTAACAGGAAAGAGACATCCAAGTTACACAAATATGGTAACTATAAAATTAAACAAGAAAATACTAACCAAGCTTCATCAAATTTTTTTACAAGATTGGTTGACATATGACTGCAATACAGATGTACAAGATATTTTATCAACCTTAGCAATAAAACCAAATGTACTCTAGGAGAAAAAAACCTAGTTAGTGCTGTGTGCAGACTGTGTGTTGAAAGGCACCTGTCATTTGAAAGTAAATCAGCAAAGACCACCAACAAGGGAGATACAGGCACAAAGGCTTCACAGTTCTTTACAGGAGAGAGGAATGCCTATAGAATGTGGGTCCAGTACAGTCAGACTAAACCTAGGTGATTATATAAGCAGTGCATTTGTAAGTTTTATGGATTGTGCATAATTAAAATTCCTCTTAAGTACAGTTCTGCACTTTGTATCCAACCCCATCATCCTATCCAT